CATTAAAAGGGGTGCCACATTAATGCTGAAGGGAGTTCAATGAAGAGACCTTTTGACAGCTACTTTGGCAGGCCCCTATGCCATTTCAGGCCATTGTAGGAAACCACGTTTATTGTGGTTTGGTTGGGAGACCCCCAGACGTACGAGAAGATGTTAAATTTCATTTTTTGTAAACACTAGGTCGTCCTGAGCCAGCAAAGCCTTCAGAAAACCCGCGTAACTCAATCACCTGACCCACCCCGCAAGCCTTCGGAATCCCTTTCAAGTTGAATCCTTAGCTTTCTTTAAGGCTAGTACAACTAGCACTACTACTTGTACTAGTATTATTAGCACTACTACACATACTACGACTGGTACTAGACATGAGAGACCCTTGTTCAAGATGCCTGCGTGTTGTTTTGCTAAAAGGGGGTTCCATAGATGAAACACGGTGCACCGTTCGGCAGGTGAGCAGCATGACATGCTCGTAAGCGCTTTCGCTCTGTCTTACTAGTGATTAGTCGGGAATACGGGAATATCAGAGGCAGACATAATCCGTATAGAATATATTCCCTTGTTCCCCACTAATCCCCCCGTAAGCTATTGTTGCCATCAAGTAGCCCGTGCATTTGCAAGATTCTGCTTGAATTTCTTTGAGACATCTTGCAGAACATCATCCTCCCGGGAGGCCTAAGCTTTAGGGTAATCCCCAAGCACCTTCTGGTCTGATGCCTATTCGGAAGGAGAAGACGGCCGATGAAAACGCCGAGCCTCCATCTCCGTCCTTGACGCCACAGAGACCCCTCGGCCTGGGGCTCGCTGTAGTTTGTATTGCTAAGGTTACTATATGAGCTATGGTCTATGGTTTAGGGTTTAGGGCTAAGGTTACTATATGGGTGGTTGTCAAAATGATGATGCCTTTTTGGGTACCCTAAATATTAGGTGCCATATTATAATAGGGAACCAAAAAGGGACCATGATTTTGACAATGCCCCATATGAGCTATAGTCTTTAACTCCATAAAGAGGCTTAAGGGGACTATAGAGAGGGCTAGTAAGGGAGATATTGGGAATTTAGACTATAGCTCATGTAATGTTATTACTAGCGTTCTTGTTCTTAGGATTAGTATTCTTCTTATCATTGCTATCAATGACGCCTCGTGGCTGTTGTTCGCAGCCTTATCACCATTTGTTTTGTGTTTCCTGTTCTGTGAGTATCGCTTGCTTCATGGTCACCGGCTGTGACACCAAAGCCAGCCCAATATGGGGCAATATGGGGGTTATATATGGATAGTGGAACAGAACATGGAAACCACTGCATTATAATGGGTTACATAGGGGCAATGGCAACCTCAGGTCAAGCCCTTAAGCCCCAAGCCCTTGTTTTCCTTTTAACCCTCCAGAATGGGAAGCCAAGCCTTAAACCGTAATGCCAAAGCATCCAGCTCAACCCAAGCCCAATTAGGGTTCCCTAAACCCTAAACCCTAACCCTACTGCTGGACCCTGACCTCATGGCCGCGGTCCCTGAACCGCAAGGCTTTAGGGTTAGGGTATATTGGGGTTATAATGGAAAAGAAAATGGAAACTACTATAATAATGGGTTATATGGGGGATTATAGGGGGTTCAGGGTTCAAATATCCCAAACGCAGCATCCTTGGTGCGTCTACCCCTGCTCTTTACACTGGCCTTGCGCCCTAGAGACTTCTTGAACAATGAGCCTCCTCAATGCTAACTCCTGAACCCAGGGTTTAGGGTTTAGGGTCTAAACCTTGCAGCCCAAACCAAAAAGAACTCGACTCAACTTTCCTTAGGCTCAGGGCCACGGTTCCCTGGCCGCGAGGAGCTCATCAATGAGGGCCCCTTCCCGCTGCGGCGGGGCCAGGGCTTCCGTGCCAGGGATGCGATGACAGTGCTGGCGATGCAGCTGCTACTACCACGACGAATATCATTATGATGAACGGCAGTGGTGATAATGATAACCAGCAGCATACTCGCAGGTATCAACTGTGCAATGACGAGCAATCGCACTAGTATCAGCACAAATCGAGGCGAAAATGATGCTAGGATTACCGTGGGCTTGGGGATCGCATGCTCTAGAGCAATCCAGCAAAGGATCCATGTTCAGTAACCCGCTGCCAGGGATCAATAGAGGTCCTTCAGGGGTACGCAGGCGGCTCCACCTTTAAAATGTGGCCGTATCACTGTATCTGTAAACTTCTTTGGCAAGCCAACAGATCAGATGGACCTTCCTATGGCATCTCTCTGCATGGAATTCTCCCTCAAAATCTTCTCAATTCAATGTAGATAAGCCGGTTTACAGCTTGCGAAAATCAATGCGGGTCCATCTACACTGTATGTCATGTCTCTTGATATGTCCAACACCCACTGTTGCAAAATCCCATTCGTTGAGGGACACGCAAATAAGCGGCACAAAGCGCCAGTAAATTCAAGACATTAAGGTTCTATTTAAGGCTAGTCCGGTCAGTCCAAAGCTGGCCGCTGCCACAAACATTTAACAGGGCGTGCCCGTAGCTTGGAAAACAACCCCTGACGAAAGAATGGATGTGTTGCAGGTCCCGGATAGCTCAGTTGGCCACCCACGTGTACTACCTCTGGGGTCCTCTGCTTACTACCAAGAGTTTCAGGTTTCGGCTTTCGGTTCTGCAGGGGTTCACAATTGTTTTGAATGAGGAAGAGGACTGCATAATGCATTTTTTGCACGTTTACAGTTTGGTTGCAGTGCCGGACCCAGCTATACCGGCAAACATTGCGTCAATATCTTGTGGCGCGCATGCCTTGGTTTTGGGGTTGGCCTTTGGATTTTTGAGTTGGAGTCTGTTTGCTAGGGTGGCAGGACATGCCTTGCATTGCGTTTCTCGAAGGTTTGAGTGAGGCATTGACGCAAGCACGTTCAGAGGATAATCTTCAACTTCAAAACAACATGCATTGTGCAGATTTCTGGTCCTTGCCGTCGCTGCGTCGTCGTGATTCCGAATCAGCAGCCAGTTCCACGAGTCCACTAGGAAATCCCTGATGAGCCATGGAACTCCATATGAGGTATAGTCTAAACTCCTAGTATCCGACTTTAATAACCCCTATAATACTCCCCTATATAACCCGCCATCTAACCTGTTTAATTTAAGAAGTTTAGACTGTAGCCCATATGCAGCCAGATCTAGAATCACTGTATTTATAGCTTCAGATCCCGCAAGCATCGAGGCCAGGATTTTGTGTAGCCTCCAGGTCATTCATAGTGTTACTAGGAAGTTGTGGCTGCGGTGGCAGATTCCACAGCAGGAGCCCCACGCCCAAAATCTCTCGTAAGGTGAGTCACTGGTTATATATAGGATGATAATTTTGGGGAGTACTATAAGGGTTATGGAGGGGGATACTAGGAGTTTAGACTATGGCTCAGGTGAAGCGAAGTTCACGGACTACTTGGCGCGCGGCACACCAGCTCAGAACGCAGCCCTGAACCTGGAGCGCGGATGCTGGGGGTTCGGAAGACTAAGGGGTCTACCAGATGGGGAATTGTCAAAATTATGGTCCCTTTTTGGGTCCCCTAAATTAGGCCCCGTATTATAATAGGGAGCCAAAAAGGCACCATAATTTTGACAATCCCCCAGGTGAAAACA